ATCATCACTAAAGGAAATACTACCAACAGTCCTACCTTTACGTATGAACTCTGTTGTTTTCCCTCTACTTGCACCTAATAGTAATGGCTGTGAGAAATGAGGCTCTGGAGGAAGTCAATTCACATGGGGACCATCTTCTTGGAGGGCTCTCTGGGAGGGGCAACTGCACCAAGATCTTTGTTGAACCATATTTGCTGCAACGATGACATGTCCATCTTGAGCCCAGGGGGATTGAGAGGCCCCCTGGGAGATAGCGGCATTTTGCAGTGAATGTGGCCTATTCTGGGTCATTCCAAGGAATATTTGAATCTATCTAATTTGGGTAAATAATGATGAAACACATAGGAGTTTTCCCTCTCTTAAGAACTGGAGAATGTTTTCTAAGGCTTTTCTCCCAATCAGTGGGAGGGTACAAACACTTTAAAATATCCACACTGGATTACTGGGTAAGGCAAATTTCTCATAGCCAGCCAGGTTAGAAAGATTGGGATTTAACATGACGAGCAATCAGGGGCTAAATTTAATGGTTAAAGGGTCTGTGTCCCTTTGTAGAATAATCAGATTGTTAATGAACAACTAGAAAAATTATTATTAGGTTTGTAGGTGCTAGTAATAAAATTGGTCCAAAAATATATGGCAAAGCTCCCTCTCACTTAAAAAGACACAAAATTTACACAAAAAATTGTGTGAAATGTTTATGGTAAAATCTTTGTAAAAGCTGTGAAATGTGCAGTTGATTTAGAAAAGGGTTAATGCCAGGATATTTTAAAGCTCTACTCCCCTCCTTGCAGTGTAATTCAAAGATGTGTTCAGTTTTTTCCTTCCTTTGTGAACTCAAACTCCTAATTGAAAAGCAGTCTGTGTTACTCAATATGAAGGAAATAAGTACAGTTGGGTCAGGTGAAGGGTTGGGTTGCTTTGGACAGTTTAAAAAGATTCTCCCTTCGGCCCTTATCTATTTGTTCCCTGAAGGATTTCTGTATCCCTTCAGGCAAACCAAGCAGTAGCAGCAGCAATAATCTTATTTGCAAAGGGGGCAGGAGGGCAGAGGCTTGGAAGTCCCAAGGGCTAGCGCTCAATACGGTCCCTGTCATCTTGAGATCAGAGGGTTTGCCCCAGCCCAGGTGAATAATGACCAAGAACACTTTGTGACTGATGACTCTGCTATGTGTGGGGAGTTAATTGATGTCCCTCTGTTCCAAGTGAATAATCCACTTTCTAGCAATGACAGTAATGTCATCAAAAGGGAAAACATGCAGCCAGTTAATGTGGAAACAAGACATAGAGTCCCCACCCCCACCCCAGACGCTCTTCTGGGCAAGGAGCAAGTGATACTTTTACAGATATGTACAATGCTTTGAACTAGCAGAACTAGGAAAAAACTATCTAAAAGCTATTTTTGACCCTTTTGGCTAATATTATGAATCTGCCCAGACCTCTGTAAATCACAGTGCAGGTGCACCAAGAACAATTAATCACCTTAGTATCTATGGCCCTTGGTTATCTGCCACCACCCCCTCCTATCCTCATTACTCTCCTCCAGGTACCATGTTCCAGACACATGAGACTACGTGTCATTCACTGGATGTATCACACTCTCTTACATCTCTCCTCTCTCATCCCCAACTCACCATAATTTATCTCCTCATAGCATCGTTTATCCCCATTTTTCCCTTTCTTCTTTTCATAGCTAGCTCCTACTTGGTCTTCAGTGCCCTATTCAAGTATCACTTCTTCTTCCTAAGTCAGGTATTGGCACCCTTTCTACCTTCCCATAGTTTCCTCCATTTTAGCAGTGATTGTGTTGTGTTGCAATTATCTGTTTAAGTGCTGACCTACTTTCATTAGATCTTAAGTAATTTGATGGTTAAATGTTGCTTGAGTTGAACAGGATATATGCACAGCACAGTTCACTTATATGGAAATTGATTTATGGGTCTCACCTCAGTAATCTGATAGCTAAGAGTGAATCTGAGCTATACCACTTACTAGTTGTGTGATCTTCAGCAGGCTACTGTCTGTCAAACTGGAATATTAATACCTCACAGAGTGGGTGAGAAGATTAAATGAGATGATTCATCTCATACTAAATGAGATAAATACTACCATTGTTATTAATGCCAAGTATGAGGTAGGTTCTCAGTGAATACTTGCTAAATTGTGTTTTACAATTTTCACAATTTACATTTGACTGGCTATCAGAGTATTATTTCCTAGATGACTTATCCTATGTACAAGTTAAAAATAAAAGACAAGTATTTATTTATTTATTTATGTAAATAAGTGAGTTAAAATCAAAACAAGAAAGTGGCCAAAGGGCCGTAAAACTAGCTACTGTAGGTGGGATCAGGAATCATTTCCATGCCTGGCTCTGTGGATAAAATAAATCCAACTTCCCCTCAGCCACTCTTTCAGCTATCCAAGGTGTGCGATGATTCATATGAGGCCAGTAACAAAGAACACATATTTAATTTATTTTGACATCTAGAATATATTTGACAAAGTTTTTGAATTGCTGCTGTCTGGAAAGTGAAGGAAAGGAAATAGAAACATGTACCTCATCACACCCATGCTCCCTTTCAATGTGGTAGGATGGAAAGATCCAGAGTTTAGAGACAAAAGACCTGGGTTTGTATTCAAAAGCAACTTACTAATTAGCCATGTGAATTTGGATAAGATACTTGGCCTCTTTGACCCTACATATGTAGAAATATACTGTAAGATGTTAGAATTTTGGACATTATTATTACTAGGCATTCTGGTAGGTAGAGGTGGTGATTTTCATCTTTAAATTTGTTAGCATGTGGGAAATTTTCAATAAATACTTGTGGAATATATGGCTTTAACTGAATGACAAGTGAATAAAAGGAGGCACTGCTTAATAAAAATAATTTGGGCTTTGGAGTCAGGAAGTCCTGGGTTCTAACCATAGCTGTCTTGTCTTTACCTCACTAAGTTTTCCTTTTGCTTATAACATGATGTCAATAAAAGAGACATCATAGGGATGCTGTGAGAGTTAAATAATGTATGTAAGATGCCGGCACAATGGCTGACATGCAGTAGAACCATAGCAGAAAATATAGTGTCTTTTGTCTTGATCATTAGCTAAAGAACTGTTGTAGACATTAACTGGATAACTAAGACAAAATGAAGTATTCCAACATAGATTAATTCTAATACTTTACATGGTTGTAGACTTTTGCAGGTTTCAAAGCTCTTCAAAACACTTTATACCATCTGATGTTACTGCTATTTTCAGAGCTGGCATTTTTATAGATGAGAAAATCAAATCAGAGGTAGTGGCTTGAGTCTAAACAGCCAGAAAGTGAGCACACACTTCTACAATTCCACTGTAATCAAGTCTACATCTACACACCTGATAATTCCTCCTCCGGCATTCCTTCCAACCCAGTGGCTGCCTGGGTCAAAGCTGGGTATCTTTGACATTTGTCATGATTCTGATATTAGCCAAAAAGATTGTGTACTCAGCAAGGAACATATAAACATTTTCAAATAGATCAGGCTTACCCAAAGATATATTCTATTATTATGAAAATAAACACCTGAAGTGCTGCATTAGTCATCTATTTCTTAGTGCTAAGAGAACAATTATTTGTTTGCTCTACAAATATTTGAGCATGTTCAAAGTAATGAAGGAGGTGCTGCAGTTAATACTTGGGAGTCCTAGTGTCTGATATTTCTCTTAATCTAAGATTGCAACTGTAATATTTTAATCACTCTTCCCATTTGTCAACTTCTTTTGGTCATTCCCTTTTTTGGATATGTCACAGGAAACTATGTAGTCTATAAGCCCAGGTATTTGTTATTTACTATTACACAGAAACTTTTGAAATGGTTGACAGTACTTAATGACCAGCATTTCTGAGATGTTCAGAGACCCACCCATTCCATGTTCCATCTCCTAAGCTAACCAGATACATACCCTCCAAATTTCTCCTATCAGCATTCCAGGGGCAGGGAGCAAAGAAATGATGATGATCTGTATTGCTCATTTTCTAAAATCCAATATGGGGCCAAGAACTTTACATGTATTACCTTCAATCCAGGAAAAATTCTTACAGAATGTTCTGGAGATGAGTACAGGAATTTTCCAGTTGGAACCATCCCTGAGGCAATCTGGAGTTTCTGCATGTCTTAATTGATTTTATTTCTACATTATTCCAAATGTATATTTCAATATAGATAGTAACACATATTGATTGTGGATTCATTTTTGAGTTTTAAGGTACTCTATGAAGACACTAAGTATCTTTCTCTCATCAAGTCCCAGTATGAAATTTAAGAGCTAAGAATACCTATCATTTGCTTTTTGTTAGGAAGCATTCAGCTTATGCACCTAGCCAGTGTTTACTAAAAGAGGCAGAACGATCAATTTTTGACCATAGTTATTAAAAAAAAAGATAATCTACTCTCAATAGTTCAATATAATCTATTTTCAAATATTTAATTACTTGAAAATTTCTAAATCTTTCAAAATTGACTGCAAACGTACTTTATTTCAGACAGTAATAATATTTAAGCTTCATTGTAATGCTTTCTTCATTATAAAATTTAAAGGTAGTTTCTCTTATTGTTCAAATAGAAATTATGAGTTTTTACAAACTGTGTTGAAAAGCACTTACCTCTTTTCAAAATATACAATGCTTATAAATTCTTTCAGTTTATGTTGTACTATGTTGTCTCAATTTAATTTACACATTATGAATAGTATGTTTGTTTTAATTTGCTGCAAAGTCAGTTAAAATCTTTAATGAAAGAATGCTTTTTAAATGTATGATTGCCTTTTCTGCTTTATTGTGTAAAAAATAGCTTTTTGTGTTTTTCCTATGTTAAAAATAAATAGATTATCCAATATGTCCTCACTTTTCAAGTGAAGTCGTAAGTGCTTTTTGAAAAACAAATTAGTTTGGCAATCTTTTAGAAATTAAATCCCTAGTGTTTTACCATCAGACTGTGAAATAAGGCAGAGTTCAAAGGCATTTTGTGTTCTTCATGGCAATCTAGAATTTTTATTTGATTCCAGGTAACTTTGGACAATAGACATGATGAGATGTTTTATCTTTGAATAAGTAACAGTTTAATTACATCATTGAAATAAAATATACTGTGGGCTTAATACATTGTAAATATTACAGAAGTACTATTTTGCTATAGTAATTTAATGACTGAAGCTACATTTAATAACAATCTTACCAGTACTTGTATACAAAGTATTATACAGATTACTAACGAAGATATTGCAGCGGTTGCAACGATGTTACTGGCTCAACAAACATCTAACAATACAATATTCTTCTAAGAGGAAAAGTAATAATGTTAGATTTACAGACAATAAAGAGTCATGTTTTCCACTTGAAACACTGGAAATAAGAATCCAGATAATCTGGTATCTTGATTTGTATTATTACAAGAAAAGGTTTCCTTTCTTGGGAACTCTGATCCCCAGTGGGCTTAGTACAGTCAATTTACATGAAGATAGCTTTCAAGATGCCACAGCAATGTAAAGAAACTCTCCCACCTGAAAATTACTGATTTGTAGGCCACTGCTTAAACATCTGACTTTTTAGAAACCTATTTACACACATTCAGCCCAAATCAGTAGATAGAATGTTTTTTTCTATATTACAGTAGGCATTGTTAACATTTCATCAGGCCAGTGCAAGGCAATTAATTGTTAACAGCCATTGCCCAGCATTTAGGAGATTTTAAAATATTATACAAATATACAGTTGGAGTGTGAGAAATCTAATTGTGTGCATGATATTGGTGGTCTTTTTTATGGACATGAAATGGCAGAAATCAATCAACAGGACAGTAACTAGAGCACTACTCATTCAGGGCCTAATTCTCATCTAGTGGTTGGGCTGATTTCCTGCAGAGTGGGTTTAGGCAGCAAAAGGTCCTTGGCATTTCATACCAGACAGACCGAACTCAAAAGTGCCAGAGAGCCTTGGGAATCATCTCAAGTGTAGGGCAGATGTCTACAGCATCTTCCAGATCCATATTCTTTCACATATATTTCATAAGAAATGATACATCAGAGGTTCTTCTTGGAGGCAGCCCTACTTGTCCAAATGAAACATTCTAGGACTTATTCATCATGAGTCAAAAAAAAAAAAAAAACGAGCAGGTTGGGAATTTGGCCCTTTCTGAGGATATGTGTGATAAGAAAATTCATGGTCAGGGCAAATACGTTATCCTCAGAGAAAAGTAAGATACCTCTGATGTCAGACGTTATAAAATTTACTTAAATTTAAATCATATTTAAATTAATGGATCTAATTATGGGGCTAATTAATGAGTGATACTAACGAATGGTAATTCTAATGAATATATTCATTGGGGACAACATTTTCGTCACTTGGGTTAATAAATGATATGAAAAATGTCAAAGTGAATCCAACTAGTTTTAAATGTTTTTAAATGAAGATTGTGTAACACATACGTGATGAGATTTCACAGATATTTTTTAGAATATCAATAAGCACCAAGTTTAGTGCTGTCAGCCCCATTGTCCCTTAATTGATTATATATGATTTAGATCTTGAAAGCACAACACACTATAAAATCTACATTGCATATGCACAAATGCAGTTTCAAAAGTGAATCCTAAAATTTTTATACCATAACAAGAAATTTCACCTCTACTAGCTCTTCATAGCTGTGAAAAGAACATTGGTACTGCCTGGTGAGCTCTGAAACGTGTGGATTAATATTCCAGATGAGGCAGGACAAAAGACTGGCAATCTTAAATGGAAACTTGTAAATAATCTCTCCTTTGAAAGAGATCTTATTAATCCTCTAGCACCCTGAGCCCTCATCCGCACATCACAGAGAGGTAAAATAAGGGAACCAGCAGACAGATTCAAAGTGTGCAGACAGGCAATGCAAAGTAACTCACAGGCCACATCCTGCCTTAGAGAGTGAACTGCAAGAAGGGGAACTACCCCATCAGGCTGCTTGGGTATCTTGAGAGCTGGAAATCACCAGATAGATGCCAGCTCTCTACTTCACACTATGTAGACATTGGGGCCTTGCAGGAGTCATGCTTTATCTGTATAAGAAGAGATTATAAATAAAAGTTATCAGGGTTGAGTAGCTTCTTCAGCAATATCATTCCTTACTAGAAAAAGGCCCAACAATGAGCACCCATTGCATCATTAAGGAGTATGAGACTGGGGTATAAGAAAGAAGCTGTGTTTATCTTCATGCTTTAGTATATCTTGCTGACCATGAGCAAAGGAGAGGTCTGTTCCTTAGCCCAAACATACCAAGACAAAGCTGGGTGCTCGGCTGTCACCAAAGGCATGTGGGCAAAGCACAGAAGAAGCATATCTAGACCTCAATTCCAAGTGTGTTGGCTCCTCACTGCTGTTTTGTGTCTCATCTACTGTCTGACTCAGCCTTTTTAGCCACATGGGCTGCGTGTGACAGTCCTACTTAAACATGATGTATATAGTGCACACTACCTACACACACAATTGAAAAATTTTACTTTTTTTTTTTTTTTGGAGAACTATCTTCCTTTTAGTGACTAACACCTTGCTCAATATCAGGCACTCAGAAACCAAAGTATTCTCTTTTCCTGATAATAACACTATAAATGCAGGCTTTACTTGGATATCTGTCATTATTTCTTGTTAAACACTGGTCTTATTTAATAGCTAAAGGTCAATTTAGTAATACTTGATCCAATCTCTTAAGCAGGGATGGGGTGAATTTTTTGAATGGTTATAGTGAGTATTTTTATCAACAAGGTTCCAGGAAGAACTCCATTTTAGAACTGAATTCATGTGCAAGAGTGCAGCAAGTGGCAACAGTTTATACTGGGTCACAGTTTTCTCACTTTATAACATTACTGTAACAGTTACGGAAGAGAAACACACACACATTTATATTCACACTCACACACAGTATAATTTTACTGATCCAGACAATACTTCTTTTCAATTAAAAAAAAATGACTGTTGTTTGGCCACCCAGGCATGAAATCTACTTAAACCTGGAATATAGGAACACAATACTATTCAAGTAAACAGCAACTGCACAGTGATAACAATATACATTAACACATGCTGTCTTAAGAGATCCAGTAATAGCTAAAGACTAAAGAAAGTCAGAGATGTCACTCAAAAAAGTCAATATGTTTTCTCTCTTCCGTTCTGATTATAATCCATTAGAACAGCTATAGTCCAGAAGATAATAAGTATCTTCCTATGAAAATGCAGAACTAATAAATTTTTAAGTATGAGTGAATTCTGCTCAATACTTTGAAGTCTTCAAATTCTTCTTGTCGAGGTAACAGAAAAATAAATATTTATGGTTATTTCAGTGTCAAAATTAAATAGAGATATTTGAAGAAATATTAAGGTTTATTTCTAAAGTTGTATCACAGGGAATAATGTAGAAAAAAAAGTGTTCTCATTGGCATATATCCACTGCTTGTCCATTGTTCTCATAAAAGTCTACCTTTCAGTCTTGCTGAACTAAACAAATATTAATAACACGTAGTAAACACTGATACACATCTCACAGGACATAATACACTTTACAAAATATCTCTACTTTAGTATTATAATGGTTGTAAAAATGGACATCTCTGATACTATGGACAGTCACATTTCACATTATAATGAAAGTTGTGGTTACAAAGGCATTACTCATTTGATGGCATTTTTCAATGGGTACTTAGACTTCCAATTGTGTAGCCAAAGGTTTCCCTCCTATTTCACTGAGACTTTGAAGGATCGTTCAGTCACTTAAGCAACAGGCTTTCTTCACTGCAAACCCCTGGAGAATGGAGTTTGAGTACCTAAACTACGGAAATATTAGCAAACTGATAAGTGATCATGGTGACAATCACCTTTTCACTCAGCATGGTAAAATTAAAAAAATATAACCGAGGAGACAACAGACTCTTCTAGATTTTGAGCTTAAAAAAAAAAAAATTCTTTTCCTGTGCTGCCAGAGAGGCATCAGTCTCACAGAGCCTCGGCAGACGTGTCTGTAGACACAGACATGGTTACCTTGGCAATCTTGACCGTGCTCTTGATGCAGCTCTCTGCAGCCCTGTGAACACTGGCTGCGTTGTTTGCGTGTTTGTGCAGGCAGTCTGAGTCCCCCATGCTGTTATCCAGAGGCTGTGCAGTGCCTTCACAAGAGGGAAACATGCTCCGGAAAGCGTGTCGCAGGTCCTTACTCCTCAGAGCATAGATGATGGGGTTCACGGTGGAATTCAGCAGGCAGAGCATACTGCAGAATGCAAACACTGTCTTAATGAGCTTGTTCATCTTCCCAAAGACATCATACACCATGATCGCAAGCAGAGGGCCCCAGCAGATGATCAACACCACCAGGATCAGGACCAGGGTTTTGGCTAACCTAATGTCCATGCGGGCTTGGTCCGGCCGGGTCACCTGTACCTTGCCGTCCTCGGACGTGTGGATGATGATGCTCTTCTGGGTGCCACGCTGAATCATGCGGACTGCGTGGCTGTGAGCCTTCCAGAGGATATACATATATGCATACACGATGAACAGAAGCAGCACGCTGGTGACCCCGATCCAGAACATCAGGTAGGTTTCATCAATGTGTGGGAAAATGTCTGAGCATACAGATTGCAGTTTCTCACAGTTCCAGCCCAGGAGAGGCAGCACGGCGATCACAATGGCTATGGTCCACATCAGGCAAAATGCCACCACGGCCTTGGGCCTGGTGACGATCCTCTTATACGCCAGGGGCCTGTGAATGGATATGTACCTGTCGATGGCCGTGAGGAACAGGCTGCCCACGGAGGCAGTGAAGGAGGCCGTGACCCCACCCAGTTTGAACAGAAACACGTTGCGGCTATCTTTGCGGTGGAACACGTGGAAGTCAATGAAGCTGTAGACAAAAATGACGCTGCCCAGGAGGTCTGCCACCGCCAGGCTGCCGATGAAGTGGTAAGAGGGCCTACAGCGGAGGCTGCGGGAGTGGAGGATGACGCACAGCACCAGGAGGTTCTCCAGGACCGTGAAGGTGCCCAGTGTGAGGGACAGGACTGCGATGGCCAGCTGCTGGCTGGGGTTCAGGACCATGAAGCACTCTATGTCCATGAAGTTCTCCCCACACTGGATGTTCTCCTCATTCTCCTTGAAGGACGACAGAGACTTGTTGTAAAATTCTGTAATGTTCACCTGGTCTGCTGGGACTAGCTGGGGGTTGTCTCCCGCAGTCATCTTCTCTTGGAAGGGACTTCCTCTAAAGGAAGTTAAAGGGAATTTCTGTGGGAAGTATCCTAACTTGGATGCCATGTCACCTTTGGTGTCTTCGTACTGAATGTCATTGGAGCCCACGTAGAGGAGGTCTGTGGTGATGGTGCGAAAGGTGGTATCTGCAAGGCCATCTAGGATCGACTTCATAACCTCAGTCTTTTATTAGGCTGAACTCAAAATGACTGAGAAAGTGACCCACAGGGGGCAATCCTAAGAGGAGGGAAAACAAATAAGCTGAATGGTGAGAAACAGGGAGAATAAAAACAAAGAGACACTGTAAACATGGCAAATGTTCTGTCATGGTAACTCATTCCTGTCTCTCAACAGTAGGAGGTCAAGCCCTCATCAGATTCAGTCAACAAAATGAGTCAGTCGCTCAGAGAAAAGCTCCCCAAAATTCGGGCATGGAGTGGCATGTACCAGAAACATATGATCCTTTCATTATTTAAACCCTCTGTATTGAAGTCAGTGTGTAAGTCCAGGAAGGACCTCCAGGGCCAAAAAGGCTGAGCTAAATGAAATGTTTCTTGGGGGCAATGTCCATTTCATACTCGCGTTAGGAAGTGCTTACCACCTGGCTTCTCCTATCACATCACATGTTATCCTGGTGCTGGTGGGGGCCAGAGAGAGCACTGATGTGTCACATGACTCACCTTGTTAGACAAATGAGACTAAATATAAAAGACAACCAAAGAATAAGACTGTGTAGAATCAGGTGGTGAGTTGTGTGGCCTGTGTGTTACATGTTAAGTGGGGAGGAGGGAGCTAGCGAGAACTGAGGAAGCTTGAGGCCCTGTGGGGAGAGCTGCTCCTCAAGGCAAGTTTCTTCACCCAGAGGAGGGGAGGTCTGGACTAGCCATGACTGACATGAACTTCTAGGATGTCCACATCAACCAAGAAAAATGCCACAAAGACCAAACTTGCACTGAGGCTTATGGGGAGACTGAGATAATTTTAACAGCGGGAGGATGATGGAGGAGGCCTCCTGATAGCATCCCTCATGAGCAGACTGCTGACACAAGTGTGCCTGACGACAGAAGAGAGGCCGGAGAGTGTCCACGGATTTCCGTGTGAACAGGTAAGAGGAAGGGAACAAACTTTAAGGGCTTTTCAATTCTAAGCTCAGCAATTTGGTTTTGTTTCAAAACAAACAGTCAGAGAACTGACTTTACTATTTACAAATGTTTGTTTTAAATGTGTGCTATTTATTTTTTAGTTTATTTTAAAAATTAGAAGTATAGAGTGATATCTGTAAAAATTAAAGTAATTATTAAAATAGTATATTATTTGTTAATTGGCATTTGTTGTTCCTAAAACATATCACACTGTATGGGGCGGGGGGAGAGATAATCATTATTTTGGAACAAATTTTTAAAATGTTGAACTAACAATAAATGAATTATTAATTCAGAGACCCTACATATCTGAATTAATAATTCATTTATGCATGTATTAACAAATTATGGTGCATCCACTATGCACCTGTATTATGTCTACCTACTGTACTAGACACTAGTGTTGACAGCATCAAGAAAGAGTCCCTGCCCTTGGCTGGGCGTAGTGGCTTGTGCCTGTAACCCCAGCACTTTGGGAGGCCAAAGCAGGTGGATCATGAGGTCATGAAATTAAGACCATCCTGGCCAACATGGTAAAACCTCGTCTCTACTAAAAATATTAAAAAAAAAAAAATTAGCTGGGCTTGGTGGTGCGTGCCTATAGTCCCAGCTACTCAGGAGGCTGAGGCAGGAGAATCGCTTGAACCCAGGAGGTGGAGGTTGCAGTGAGCCGAGATTGCGACACTGTATTCCAGCCTGGTGACAGAGTGAGACTCTGTCTCAAAAAAAAAAAAAAAGTCCTATGAAGGATATGGTCTAGGAGAGGAGGCAGACAGCTGACCCAGAAATAAAAGAAAGCATGGGGAGAGCTACAATTGGGGACATACAGGATGATCTGGGGACACCCAGTCTAGAGGGCTGAAGGAGGCATCCCCAAGGAAAAGATATTCATGCTAACAATAGGTAGCATTAATGTAGAGGGGGGACAGGACACAGAGTCAATGGAAAAAAATTTATTTGACACCCTAAGTGTCATGATTCTTAATAAAAGTAACTTGGAACAGGCATAAAGTGGCACATGTGGCCCACCTTCCCACAGGCTGCCACCTCTACCTCCAGGATCTCACCACTGCTCACCTGAGTTGGGGCCCCTTCCTCCTGACCACTTTTCCTGTCCTTCTCTGGTCTTGTTCTCTTTCGATCACTTGCCACACAGCTGTGGGGGTGCTCTTCGTAAATGTTTCCTGTTTATGTGACTCCCCTCTTTCAACCTCTTTGCCCTAAACACCAAATATAAACATTCATGCAGTTTCTCTTTCAGGCCCAGGCCCTTCAGACACACACGCAGCTCTCCTCTGCCTTCCATGTTTCTGTCCAGCTAAGCTTCTTTCCCATTCTGACCCTCAGGCTCTTGTCCTTAATCCTCTCCACATCCTGTCTCCCTAAACAGGATGGCTTTCTATCTCCCACCTACAGGATGAGGTCCAGTAAAAAGCTTCCTGTGAGCTAGATGCTGCCCACCTCTCCAATCCTCTTGCCAGCCCAGGCCTTGCCACTTGGGCTATACCGGATGACTTTTAGTTCCATAAACATAGAACATGCCCTATATGTCCCACCATTCAGCTATTTCTCAGGCGTCAACTCTTGCTCTTTGCAAACGTATGTTTGCTAAGCAACTCCATTTACATGTGAAAGTTTTCATCCATAATCCAAGGGACACAGAAGACAGCCACAATGTATGAGAGCTGTTCTTTATATGGTCATGGCACATCCACAAACCTAGCTTTTGCCTCTTGACTTCCACCCATACTTAAACACTGGCTTACTGGCCCTGAGTGACTTACTGCTCTTTGAATATACCATCATACCTGCACACCTTCCTCCTTCACCTTGCCTCTTCTTCCATCTGGATAGTCACTTCCAAGCTCTCTGCTATTAAACTTATCTTTCCAGGTCTGTACCAATGCTACTTCCATGTCTGAAACCTTCTTGACCAGCCCTTCCCACTAGGCATAACTAGTTCCCCAGCTTATCCCTCTATTATAGGTCTTATCATGTCATGTAATCAGGAGTTTATATATTTATTTCCATAACTAGAATGAGATTTCCAAACACAGAAGGGCATCTTTTTTCTTAGGTGGTTTACCAGCCTGACAGCATGACAGCAGGAGAGCAGAGAGCTGAGTTCCCACAGAAATGTTCACCTGAACCTAATGGAATGGCAGTTGAATTTTTATTAGGTGGTATCTTGTATTTGCCTTTTTCTTAAAATTAGAGGACAGAAAAATAATTAATGCAATAGGCATTTAGCCTGAAAACCAGAGCTTGACCCTACATCTCCAAGTCGCTCCTGGGAGTCATTCCAGTCATCTTCCCATTCCTTATGTCATCTTCCCTCAGTTAACTCCCCCTTTACACTTACCAACTGGAAACTAGTTTATCAGAGATTTTGATTATCTGTAAGTATTAGATTCACAAGATTCAAAATTCAAAAGGTACAGAAAGACACACAGAGAAAAGTCAATCTCTCTCATCCCTATATCCCAGTCACCTAGTTTTTTTCCTCAGAGGCAAGGAATAAGTTTCTTGTTACCCCTTCCGGAGATACTCCATGCATATTCAAATAAATATATGTATTTGCCCCCTTTGTTTTCTTTTTAGCAAATAGTAACTAACATATTATACATACCTTGATTTTCCACTTAGAAGTATACATTGTGGACAGTTCCATATTAGTATATAAAACCCCTCTCTTCATTCAGCTGCCTTAAGGATCTGTTAGATGAATGTGACCACCCTCCTACTGATGGAGGTTTAGGTTGTTTGTCGCCTTTTGGTATTGGAAATGATGCTGCAGTAAAATGACTCCAACCACCTCATTTTTCTCATTTCTTATGGTATTGTGAGTCGTCCTGCTAGTGACCTAAGTTCATAACTTGGACTTACTAGACACCTCCTCTCTCTTGACCTCTACAGTGAGGTAAACCACTAAATCTTGCTGATTTTCCTCTTTTAAGCATATATAGAGGGCTTAAAATATTGACTGGTGACACTGAGCCTATTACAAATATCAATTCCCTTACCTCACAATGGCCCTATGAAGTAGGTGCTGTTATCCCATTTTCAGATGAAAGGCATAGAGGGTAAGTAACTTGCTATTCGCATAGTTAGTAAGCAGTAGAGCAAGGACTGCACCCAGATGAGAGCCACATTTCAAGTCCTTAATAGTTCCATGTGGTTAGTAGCTACCATACTGGACAGTGCAGGTCTAGGGCCCTGGCTTGTGATTTTTTTGATACACCGTCTCTCTAAGCTCAGACAGAGATATTACCATCTTCCTTGTTTTCTTCACTGATTCCAACTAGTCAAAGCACCTAGTCAATGGAATCAGGAGTTAGCAGACCAAGATTAGTGTTAGATGGTACTTAGGCAATTAGTCTAAGCCTCAGCATTTCAGCTGTAAGATGGGGATGATTATGATGACAATAATGCCTAAATCACAGAACTGATATGAAAATTAAATGAAAATAAATGCATGTAAGACATAGTGCCTGACACAAAAGTAAGTCTTCAATGAGTATTATTATTATCATTGCTTAGTATTATGGCTCTTTGCTATATACTATATACTAATTATATTGTAAGAATATATTATAATAATATAATATGTACTAATTACATCTCAAGAATGTTTATTGCCTTAATTAGAGCATATTCTGCTTATTCAATTTCATTTATGCCTCAGCACTGAAAACATGAAGCAAATAGTAGCTATGTAGACATGGGTGAGGGATGGGGAAACTTTATTGAATGTTTATTATATTCAGCCATTTGAGAAATATGTTACATCATTAAATCGTCAAGGCAACTCTATCAGGTGCTTATTTATAATCCCCATTTCACAGATGAGAAACTAGAGGCCATTAGATGTTAAGTAAATTGCCTAGAATATGATGGATTTGCAGATGAATCAAAATTTCTCATAATCCACAGTTGGTTTTTAGATTTTCTGTGATGACTTCAGAATTAACAGTAACTAGATTAAAGCCATTCTGAAACTTATATTTAAGTCTTCTGGACTCTTAGAAATGTAAATTAAGGCATTTTGCCAATAGTAATTAAGACTACCTGCTACTAAATCCCTATTTCTTATCA